GAACACCCCCCTGTGTGTCCCTCGTGGTCTCGGCATTGACACACATGTGAGCCTGTGTATAAACGGGGTGAGAGAGGAAGAGTGTGCGTGTCGCAGAGCCAGTCGGGTGTGCCGCCGAGGGCAGCGTTCCGTCTGTTGGTGGGAGTCGGGCGTCCGGGAAAGGGCTCTCATTCCAGTGCCGAGTCTCAGTTAGTTGGTGGGCACTCTGTCTGCCCTGGTCCCGACAAGATCCTTGTAATTTTAAGAGAACCCTCCCTGCTACCCATATGAAGGCTGGTTCTCAGGAGGCCGAGCCTTGCTCTGCCGCTGGCCCCGAATGGCCTCAGGCAGCTGACCTCCCCACACATCTGTGAGACAGATGACACCCACAGACACCTGTCCCCCAGCGCTGTCAGGATGGAACGAGATTCAGAACAGTGCCTGTTCTGCACTGAGGACTGAAATAGTATTTGTTCTTAAATTTTTTCTTATAAAAGTGAATAAATGTGCTGTACCAAGAATAGGAAATAATTATTCACAGAGGGCTAGGCGGTTTCCACTCCCGAAAGGAGGAGAGATGAAGGTCGTTTAAACGGCGTAGGAGCCTGTCGGTCCGGAGATGTATCGCTAACAAATACGTCTGTTCCGCATGTCTGGTGGAGGCATACATGAGGTGACTGTGGAAGTCCCCCCGTTGTCCACCTGGAGGGATTTGCAAGGTTTTACTTTATTGTCATGATTAGATTCTTACACATTCATAGAACTTTAGTGTTAGAAAGGTGGTCACCTGGTGACGCTCCTTTGTTTCACGTGGGAAGAAACTGAGCCCAGAGGAGACAGCAGGGAACCGTGCCCCCGGAGTGCACAGCACCCTCAGGTGCGGCTGGAGCGGCGCTTGTGTTCGGAGGCCTGTGTTTGGTTTGTGTGGATATCTTGGTCACTCTCTACTGTTTAATTCCTTGAGAGAAAGTTGTGGGCCCAGTTTGCGTTCATATAATAATGGAGAAAAGAATGCTTTAAAATACCTTATTTTAGCCTGGCCGGTGTGGCTCAGTGGTTGAGTGTCGACCCTGCACCAAGAAGTTGCCAGTTCGAGTCCCGGTCAGGGCACGCGCCCTGGTTGTGGGCCGATCCCCAGCGGGGGGCGTGCAGGAGGCGGCCCGTCGATGTTCTCTCTCATCGATGTTTCCATCTCTCTCACTCGCCCTTCTTCCTTCTCTCAAATCAATAAAGAAAAAAAATTTTTTTAACAATAAAACACGTTATTTTATTTGTGCCTCCCAGCGAAGCACGAGGGGAGTGTGTGGGGTGCTCACTGATCCTCTCACGGGTGGCGGGACAGAGGTACGACGCGCCGCGCCCCAGAAGGTGGCTCTGCCAAGTGAGGGGCTGCAGCGTGAGCCGGGTCTCCTGACCCGAAAGCCACTGCTGCCGGTGGCCGTCCCCTCTTCCCACGCCGGCTTCGCGAAGGAGACGAACCGCAGAGCACACGTGGTCTCTGCCCTGCAGGAGCTGTGCTTGAAGATCTGCGAGGAAAGGCGCGTGCATTGTGCGCCAGGAGCACAGCGCAGGGGGCCGGCTGTGTGCCTTGCAGGAGCCTCGCGCCCCCCCCCCCTTCCCGAGCATCCGCTTCCCGCCAGGCCTGGGTTCTGTGCTCACACGCCGTCCCTCCGCCTTCTCACCCTGCAGGCTGCTCGGCATCGTCGCGGTGCAGGGGCCGGCTGTGTGCCTTGCAGGAGCCTCGCGCCCCCCCCCTTCCCGAGCATCCGCTTCCCGCCAGGCCTGGGTTCTGTGCTCACACGCCGTCCCTCCGCCTTCTCACCCTGCAGGCTGCTCGGCATCGTCGCGGTGCAGGGGCCGGCTGTGTGCCTTGCAGGAGCCTCGCGCCCCCCCCCCCCATCCCGAGCATCCGCTTCCCGCCAGGCCTGGGTTCTGTGCTCACACGCCGTCCCTCCGCCTTCTCACCCTGCAGGCTGCTCGGCCTCGTCGCGGTGCAGGGGCCGGCTGTGTGCCTTGCAGGAGCCTCGCGCCCCCCCCCCCCTTCCCGAGCATCCGCTTCCCGCCAGGCCTGGGTTCTGTGCTCACGCCGTCCCTCCGCTTCTCACCCTGCAGGCTGCTCGGCATCGTCGCGGTGCAGGGGCGAGGCGGCCACGCTCGCAGTTCAGCGACGCGCACGAGGTCCCCAGCGGGCAGCTTCTGTGTGTCTGCTTCCTCCCCTGTGCGTGCTCCTCATTGGCCGAGAGAGGAGACCCTTGCTGCCACGCAGGCCTGTGAGGGTCGTGTGTGGAGGTCGGCCCTTCCGCGGGGTAGTGAGAAGCCTCTGCCACGTCAGTGCTGCCCTGGGCTCTCGGCCCCTGTGCCACCCTGTGGAGCTTTCCTTCTGCCTGGCTGGGGTGTGTCTCATCCACTGTAGGAGACGGAGAGAAAGAAAGAAGGAGGTGCTACCCTAGGACCCAAGTGCCAAATATGTAGCCACTGTCCCAGTACAGCACCAAATCTGGGATAGTCCAGAAAACAGGAAGTGCAAAGGAGGGTGGAGTAGAAACTGTGAACCCTTGGGAGAGGGAAGGTGACCGAGTGCGTGAGTCGGGGCCGGGAGGGAACAGGAGCGTGGCAGAGAGGAACACGGCACACAGGCGGGGCTGGCATGGCCTCCTTCAGACTGCACGGGCAGCTTCAGGCGGGCTTTAGTCTGAAGCCACATGGGTCCGCGTCCGAAAGGAGAAAGTGTCTGCGTCGTTCTGGTGAAGCGGGTTTGCTGGTGCGGTCAGGACGGGCCACACGTCACTCCATGACAACCCAGAGGAGCTCTTCTGTCCCCGAAACCCGTCCCTGGATGTTGCCCTTGCTTTCCCTGCTGCGAGGCAGGAGTGCTGCCCAGGAGAGGCCTGGGAACAGCAGGCCACAGCCGCACCCTGGGTGTGGGCAGGGTGCATGGGCCCGGTGGCCCGAGCCACGTCCCTGTGCCAGGTAACCTCGAGGCGGCTGAGCCCATGGTGGGTGACTCAGGGTGGTGCCTCAGGCTGTAGTCAGCAAGCAGGGAGCTGGTCCGGTGGGACGTCGTCTGCAGAGGCGCTAAGCTGGGATCCCCTTGGCCTAGATCCACTGCCAGACATGCCATCCGTGTGCTCGTGATGCCCAAGTCACTGTCCAGGTGCATGAGATTCCCTTACTCACTCCGTTGTCCATCAGGTCTTAGCCACTGGGGCTTAGCACGTCCTCTCACCTCAACAGGAATTTGTCTACTTTTTGCAGATTTCCTTGCTGCTGCGATCCGGGCAGTAAGCTGCTTGTGGGCCCTCCGGCTTCCTGGGCGCTGGCCGGAGCCCCTCTGCCGCGTGTCAGGAGCCCCTCTGCCGCGTGTCAGGAGCCCCCTCTGCCGCGTGTCAGGAGCCCCCCCTGCCGCGTGTCAGGAGCCGCGTGTCAGGAGCCCCCCCCTGCCTCGTGTCAGGAGCCCCCCCCGCCGCGTGTCAGGAGCCCCCCCTCCCGCGTGTCAGGAGCCCCCCCTCCCGCGTGTCAGGAGCCCCCCCCGCCGCGTGTCAGGAGCCCTCCCTGCCGCGTGTCAGGAGGCCCTCCCTGCCGCGTGTCAGGAGCCCCCCCTGCCTTGTGTCAGGAGCCCCCCCCGCCGTGTGTCAGGAGCCCCCCTGCCGTGTCAGGAGCCCCCCCCCGCCGCGTGTCAGGAGCCTCCCTTACCGCGTGTCAGGAGCCCCTCTGCCGCGTGTCAGGAGCCCCCTCTGCCAGCAGCACCGTTTAACAACTGCTTGCCTGTCTCTCCCACCAGGCAGCATTCTGGGAGGAAAGGGGACATCTTTATACATTGCCTGGTACTTAATAGGTGCACAGAAATATTTGTTGGATGAGCTGAACAGTGGTTTTGTAGCTTACTTTGGAGAGTTCGTTTTCAAAGCCTGGTCTTTGGACTTGAGACACGTATCTATGGTCTATAGAGTGGGATTCGGTGTCTGCCGAGACGTCAGGGAAAGATTCTAAAAAGGTTGACTTTTTCTCAAATCCACCTGTTGGAGTCCAAGATTTCTTGAACGGGTTTCTATTGGTACTCCGGGGTTGCTCCTCGGCAGGGCCAGGCGAGAACAGCAGGCTAGGTTTGCAGTGTGGACTCGGCACTGGCAAGCCCTGTGGCTCAGATAATGGCTTACACAGGAGGAATGTGGCAGCTTACTGTCATCAGGTACATTTCTGAGACCCAAAGGTGCATTCTGCAGTTTTTTCCTAATTTGCTGATATTAATATATAGACTGTGTTTCCCCAGAAAGGGGGGTGATTGAGTTAATGTTTGCGCATCAGGCTCCACAGTGATTTCAAATCATAGCTGACCTTTGCTTTGTTGACACCCAAACCAACTTGAATATAAATAAATGTGCCCACTTAATCACTTATCTTTCTTTCCTGTCAGCTGTTAGATTCTGGGTTTTGTTCTCTTTGAATAGCTTTACCATTGTCAGAGAAGCTGCTAAGAAGTGTAGCACGGTATCCCATTGAGCCCCAAACGGAGCAGAGTGAAAATGGGTCGGGTGCTCTTCTGCACCAGAGTGGTTATGATTTCAGGAAGAGGGATGTTGTTCCCCAGCGTGTCCCCAGAGGGAACATTCTTCTCCGCGGCTGTCTGGGCTTTATTAGTGGGTCAGTGACCTTTAGCTTCATTCCTGAGAACACAGAGATGCTTCAGAGAAGGTTTGTCCAGGGGTAGTGATGGCAGAAACGACTCCCAGGGTGAATTATTGTCAGTGATCAGGTAATGGGGACCGAATCTGACGTAGATCGGTGGGGGCTGAAAAAGCGGGACTGTTTTTATGACGTGGGTGGGGATGTGTAAGGTGGAGGAGGAGCGAGCGGGAGGCCGGGCCGTGCTCTGGGCTCGGTCCCGTGAGCTGGCTTTGCCCTGCGGCCTGCTCCCGGTGCCGGCATCGTGAGCCTCGGTTCTGCGCCACAGTGTGGAGGGCCGCGCAGGTGCCAGTGGTCTTCTCCCTGTAACTCTTCTGTTTTGTCTTTGGTACTCACAGGCCGACCCTAAAGAGCTCATCACGACGGTCACCAGGCACATGACTCGGTACGGACAGGAGGCCTGGCCCGAGGACGTCGTCTCCCTGACCAAGCAGTTGCACTACTACAACGAGCGTCTCCTGGACTTCACGCAGGCTCAGACCCTGCAGGGCCTGCGGAAGGGCGTGGACGTGCAGCGGTTCACCGCCGACGACCAGTATAAGAGGGAGACCATCCTGGGCCTGGCAGAGTAAGGGCTGCTTTGTCTCGGGAAGGCGTGGGTTCGAATGGCAGAGCAAGCTGCATGCGCAGGGCCCTTGTTCACTGTTCCTTGAAGACTGACAGGACTTCCCCCACCCTGTCCAGTCACATGAGGGGCGTGTCTCCCGAATGGGCCCGTAGACGCAGACGCCTTGAGCCTGCAGGTCTGAACAGTAAGGATGGGAATCATTGTTTTTTACGTTTCCCGATTTGGAAAGCCTGATACCAAGATTATTACCACGTCGAAGGTGAAAAGGGCAGATTGGGGTGAAAAGTGTGAAACTCATTGTAGAACTTCAAACGAGATGCCTTGTACTCCTGGATGGGAATCTCCCTTCTCCAGCCCGTGGCAGCTTCATTCCCTGAGTATGTGGACACCAGATCCAGCGAGGGAGGGGCAGGGCCGGGGCTGTGGGCTCAGCACTGCATCTGCCCTGGGTCCCAGAGGGGAGGAGCCCGCACAGCCGCCGGGTCCGTGTCCTTTCCGGGAGAAGCACGAGCCTGTGAGACCTGCCCCGCGACGGTCCCTTCTTGGGGTGGGATCCCCTGGTCTCAGCACTGCTCTTCGGCTTTTGTTTTACTTCCAGTGAGATCAGATCAGATGAGAGTCGCTTACATGTCAGAAGGTGGGAAAGGGGTTCGCCCATGTGGTTACCAAGAAGAGGTGTTCTGTTTGTGACACCGGAACTTGTGGGCTGTGTTAGGTGCCTGTGGACATCTGTTGGTCCTCCAGGATAGCCCTGTGACATGAGTGCTGCCCCCAGTGTGGCTGGGGAACACGGGGTGAGGCTCACAGCTGTGACCCGACCTTGACCTGACGCCCCGTGCAGCTGCCGCAGCCCCCCATTGTGCCTCCCCTGCCAGCCGGGCCGGGCTCTTCACTCGCGGCGTTTAGCCTCTGAAGCACAGGTTACTTGGTGCCTACATGTAATGGTTATTCCTCCCTCCTGACGTTATTTTACGGTAACTGAGGTCGTCCTGGTGTGGCAGCGGTGTGTCATTCCTCACCATTATTCTCTGAGTCCTTGAGAAAGTGGCCCAGCTGCTCTGGTGCCCTGTAATAGTTTTATATTACCCTGGGCTTCTTCCCTGCAGAAGACTCTTAGGTCGGAATAGCGAGAACAAAGACGGATAGTAGGAATAACCTGTAGCTGGGCTCAGTTAAGGAAGGAATATTCTTTTCTCTTCCCCTCTGTCCTCCTGGAGGTGATTTCATAGTCATTTAACGTCCAGTGTGAAAGGGACCAAGGGGTCATTTAGTGCAACTTCTTTGCTCAGAAGAGGTCTCTGAGAGTCAAAGAGCTTTGAAGAGCAGTTCAAGGTCACACAGCCAGAGGTCACACAGCCAGAGGCTGACCATGGGCTTCCTGTTTCCAAGTCCCCTGAGCTTTCCTTTGGCCATTTTGTAACCCTTCGTGCTGTGCTGATGGTTGCGTAGAAAAGGGTTTTTTTATTTTTATTTTTTTATTATTATTATTTTTTTATCCTCACCCGAGGATATTTTTCCATTTTTTGTTCAGGTAGAGTGGGAGGGAGAGAGAGGAAGAGAGAGAGAGAGAGAAACATCGATGTGAAGGGGACACATCGAGTGGCTGCCACCCGCACGACCAACCAGGGCCAGGGACAAACTGCAACCGAAGTACGTGCCCTTAGCGGGAACCGAACCCGGGTCTCTCCAGACCGCAGGCCGACGCTCTAACCGCTGAGCCAAACTGGCCAGGGCAAGGGTTTTCTTTTTCTTTTTCTTTATTTTATTTTATTTTTTATCCTCACCCGAGGATATTTTTCCATTCTTTGTACAGATAGAGTGGGAGGGAGAGAGAGGAAGGGAGAGAGAGAGAAACATCGACGTGAAGGGACACATCGAGTGGCTGCCACCCGCACGACCAACCAGGGCCGGGGACAAACTGCAACCGAAGCACGTGCCCTTAGCGGGAAGCGAATCCGGGTCTCTCCGGACCGCAGGCCGACGCTCCAACCGCTGAGCCAAACCGGCCAGGGCAAGGGTTTTTTTAATTAACTTTTTTAAATTGATTTTTAGAGAGAGAGGAATAGAGAAGGGAGAGAGAAAGAGAAACATTGATGAGAGGGAACATCGATTGGCCGCCTCCTGCATGCGCCCCACTGGGGATCGGGCCCACAACTTGGGCATGGCCCTGACCGGGAATCGAACCAGTGACCTCTGGGTGCAGGGTTCGGCGCTAAACCACTGAGCCACACCGGCAGGGCGAAAATCGTTGTTGTGCAGAATAGAAGTTTACAAGCCAGGGCATGGCTCCCATCATCAGTCACACTTTGCCCGGGTTCTGCCCTGTTTTGTCTTCCATGTACCGAGCTGGTGTTGGACATGTGTCCTAGAGGACAGACACACGCTCTGATAAATGTGCAATGGGATCTTCTCCGTAACCTGGTGCTTAGAGAAGCACAGCACCCTTTGGGTAGCTTGTTGGAAATGCCTCCAAGTTTGCGTGGGTTTTCTGAGCTCGCGGTTGGCTCGTGGGCGGGGTTTCCGCGTCTCGTACAGAGGAGTTTTTGCCGGACGTGCTCCCCTGATTCGGCAGCCCTGTCGGAGGCGTGCACAGTGCGACCACTCAGTGTTTTCCCGTTAACAGTACATGCATCTTCATGGCTGTTGTTTCTGTCAGTGCAGTATGTCTGTCCTTTCCTGTCTGTACGTCTTAGGTAATACCTTCCCGGTGGTCAGTCAGGGTGACTTAGGAGAGGTCATAATACAGTTTGGTTTCTTCTCACATTGTCAGATGACAAAGATATCGGTGCTCAGAGCGCGTCCCTGGCGCCAGGCAGTGCGCACGTCCCGCGGCAGGAGGATGAAGGGCCAGCCGTCCCCCTTCTCCAGGATTCTCGTTCCATCCTGTGGGATAGTTTTCAGTGGACAGTGACCTCATAGTCCACGTGCTGACAGACTTAGTCCAGCCCTTGGCTTCTTTTTTATAGTCCATGAGCAAAGGGTCGATGGTTTCTGCATTTTCAAAGGTCTGTGGAAAACAGCAGTAAAAAGAAGAATATGCTGCGGAGTCCGTACGGCAGCAAAGCCGGGAAGGTTTGCTCCCTGGCCCTTCACGGAGACGTCTGCCAGCCCCGGCCAGTCTGACGTGTCAGTGTTGTGGTGACGGGCCCAGCAGTGTCACTGAGAACAGATGCTTCACCCCTGCGTGTGTGGCTTTGCCCACCGTCCTCCCAGCCAGGATCCCTCCCACATCTCTGCTTTGGGACCTAGACGGCCCTGATGGGTTGCTATGCGCCTGGGCTGTCCAGTCTGGTGACCCTTCCGGCTGTGCCTCCCGGGCTCCGTGGCCCTGAGGACAGGTGCAGGTCCCTCTGCGCCCAGGGCCCTGCGCATTCCGAGTTGTGACACCCCCAACCCGGTCTGCCCCCTCTGTTAGAAGGCCACCCGTCCCCTTCCTGTCCCTCTTTCCACCCGCTCAGTCACTGCTCCTTTACGTTCCAGCCCTCAGGTCGTCGGTCACTGTTGTCTCTCCTCACAGTGTTTTCCAGTCCTTGAGCACTTAATTACGGGTCCGCGTTCCACATCCTCCTCTAGGTCATGCGTCCTCAAGAAAACTCTTGGTGGTTTTTATATCCTAGGCAGCTGACAATACCTGGAACAGTGTGGAAAGTAAAAGTTTGTTGAGTGACTGTGTTCTCAGATACCTGCCAGGGCGGGGCTGCTTCCCTCTGCGCTGTGTGTGCTTCAGGTCGTCGTGTCTGGACCAGAATTTTTCCGACCTCAGCCCCTTTGGTCTGGGGAACTGTCGGGGGACGGCTGTTCCGTGCCTGGCAGGGTGGTTAGCAGGGTCCCGGACCTCCGCCCCCTGGATGCCAGTGGTGGTCTCTTCCTGCCTCCCGCTGTGACAGCCAGAAGTGTCTGCAGACACTGTCAGCCCCTGAAGGCCAGGTCACCCCGAGTCGAGAACCACTGGCCTGGACAGTGGCCTGGTGGTTCGCAGGGCCCCGCAGTGGACAGGAACATGGACATTCTGGGTCCTCGAGTCCTAGAGTCTCCTTAGGGACCGTGCTGGCTGCACCCTCTGGCTGGAGCGTGTTCCCGATGAGCATCCCTGTGCGGGCGCAGCTAACGTGTCTCTCTTCCTTCCCGTGGCTGTGGCGCCCGCAGGACCCTCGAGGAGCACGTCTACGGCATCGCACTCTCGCTGGCGCAGCGCTACAGTGTCCCCCGCTGGGAAGTGCTCATGACCCACCTGGAGTTCCTGTTCAGCGACAGCGGGTAAGCGCACAGGGCGCGGGAGTGCATGGCCACGCCATCTTCTCCGTCTGTTCTGAAACAAGTTATAACGTGTAATTTCACTTTCTCTTTCAGCTGCAGTAGACCAGTGTCTCTGTACGTTGTCTCTTTGTTCACCTGTGGTACACCAATATTCTCCTAATGCCTGCTCATTAAGAAATACATTTCATTGGTTTTTTAGAGAGAAGGGGAGGAAAAGGGAGGAGAGAAACATCTCTTGCCCGCCTCCTGCATCCCCCACTGGGGACCGAGCCCACAACCCCAGCACGTGCCCTGACTGGGAATCGAACCAGCCACCTCTCGGTGCATGGGTCGACCCTCAGCCAGCTGAGCCACACCAGCCAGGGCTAGTCTGCTCATTTTTGGTTTCAGTGAAAATAGTCCTGAGTTAGATACTGTACTATTCATTCATTCAGAGGTTTTTATTGAGACGCTATTCTGTGCTGACAGCTAGATACTGGGGTCATGATAGTGAGCGAACGCTGGCTTCGTCCCAGCGGTCTCGGAACCTGGAGTGGGAGACAGGTGTGATGGAATAGTGATGTAAGCAAGCACGAAGTCAGAACTGTGGCCAGCACCCTGTGCGAGGGCCCGAATAGGGTGTCCGGCATTGTAGGGGAGGCTCTCCCGAGGGAAATAAGTCTTGGCTGAGACCTAGATGCTGAGTTGTAATGAGCTGCACTGCAGAGAGAACAGGGACCCGTCTTCTAGGGGACCAGGCAGGCAAGTGCAAAAGCTCTTGGACAGGAAGGAGCACCATGTGCCCGAGCGCCAGCAGGTGGGCTGTGGGGGCGAGGCCCCGGGAGTGGGGAGCTGGTGTGAGATGGGACCACGGGAAAGCCGGAAGCCAAGCCACACAGCGAGACTCTGCAGACCCTCTCCAGGGCTGGGATTTGGGTCAGGGAAAAGGAAACGACGTGATCAGATCTACATTGTGATTAAGGTTATTTTGGTTACTATGTTGAGAAAAGATTTTAGGGAGGCCAGAGGTATGTCGACCATTTACAGAGCTATAATATTGGTAGACTGTGTGACAGGTGACCGCAGCTTGGAGTAGGGTTTTGAAAGCCCAGAAGGAGAGGTGAGCATGAGTTTCAGAGAGCTCCAGGAGATGAAATCAGCAGTACTTAATACATTGATTAATGAGCATCAGCTAGATACTGAGGCGAGTGGAAAGGGCGGGGTCAGGGATCATCCCCGGTTTTCCGTGGCTCTGCCTGTGGGCTGGTGACGTCACTCGGGACGGGAAACAACAGGCAGAGACAAGGTATTTTGAGGGACAGTGAGGACCAGGCGACAGAAGGAGAGGTCGTTCACACTGAGACACCCAGGAGCAAGGCCACGTGGGCAGTGGTTCTGATGGACCTGAGTCCGAAGGACAAGATGGACCTGGAAACACCAGTTTGGGGGCACATGGCCCCAGCCGACGCGTGAGCCGTGTCGTGGACGTGCCGGGGTGCCCACAGAGTGAGCAGGGAGGAAGACTGAGCACAGACCTTGAGGGCCGCCGGCTGGTGGAGCTGCCAGCACCAGGGACGGAGCGAGCGGAGGGGTCGAGGAGAGCAGGTCCTGTCTGGGGGGCCGCGGGAAGAAGGGGGCTGGGGGCAGACTGAACCGGGTCAGGTGCTGCCAAATGGTTCAGAATGCTTACTACTTAGCAACTTTAATTTTTATTAATCACTTTGAAATGTTAACATCTACATTTAAGTATTTATGAAATTGCTGCATGGGGGTTTTCTCTGATAACTATTGACCTGAATTAATCAGTTTTGAGGCCCAGGACTAGGTTTAAATACATGTTTCTTATGATGTGCATATTGGCATTTAAAAAATATCTTGAATTTGCCCGGCTGGTGTGGCTCAGTGGATTGAGCATCATCCCATGGACTGAGAGGCCCTGGTTTGATTCCTGGTCAGGGCTCATGCCCAGGTTGTGGGCTCGACCCCCAGTAGGGGGCGTGCAGGAGGCGGTCGATCCATGTATTTCTCACATGGATGTTTCTCTCTCTCTCTCTCTCAAAAAAAAATCAATAAAAACAATTAAAATAATACCTTCAATTTTATTAAGTATCTTTTCCTTTCTTTGACTGTTGCATAAAAGGGTGTCAGATCTGTACAAATGGGAAGCTCCACTGGCCCCTGAGTATATTATGCATTATCTGGCAATTAAATAATATGCAAGACTGTTCAGGGCATGTCATCGTACCTGATGGCAGTGTGATTAAGCAGACGTACAGCAATCGCACGAGCAGGAAGTCATTACCTCCGGGCTCGGTGCTGAGTGACAAAGCGCCTCACACTGATCTAGCCACTGGTATTTGGGGCGCCCTGTTCCTGACTTCAAAGGCAGGAGTCTGCCTTGCTATTCAAGCCGACTGCGCCACACAGGTGTTAGAATCTGCCTTGGGAAGGTGGTGGGAATGGCCACATGTTGACTTGAGTCGGCGCCAGTGGGAAGTTACCAGGTCAGAGTCCCAAGAAGAGGGATGTTGTTTGCCTGAGCATTTTGTTTCACTGTTCCTTTATTTTTTTAATCCTCACCCGAGGAATTTTTTTTTTTCAAATGTCTTCAGATAGAGTGGGAGGGAGGGAGGGAGGGGGAGAGAGAGAGAGAGAGAAACATCCATGTGAGAGAGACACACCCATTGATTGCCTCCCACACGATCCCTACCAGTGCTAGAGACAAACCACAACTAAGGTACATGTCCTTGGCTGGAATCAAACCCAGGACTCTGGTCCATGGGCCGACACACTTGAGCCAAACCGGCCAGGGCTTACTGTTCCTTTAATAAGAACCACCACCCCCGAAGCTGATTTTTCTACAATTTTACAGTTTCCTTCCTCTTGGTTGAATTTGGGGATATTCCCTGCCTCAGCACAGGGACAGCTGAGCACGCTCAGACAGGTTTGGGGGAGCACTGGGCACCTCTGCGCTGTCTCTCTGGCTGTGTCCCTGCACGAGGGAGTTCAGTTCCCAGACTCGTTCTCTAAGTCTCGGTGTAATGGGGGCTGAGGGACTCCTGGTGGGAGACCCAGCTTGCAGGGCCTCCCGTGACGGTGCTTCATCGCTCGTGGTTATGCCGGGTTCCCCTGTGCAGAAAGAATCTCATCGATACCCAGGCTTGAGATCCGTTCTTTATTTTCTTTTGTTGTCTCTCTTTTTTTTCTCTTTTCCTTTTTCTTAATGGTTTGAAACTGCAGTGGTGGCTTTCAGTGGCGGTGTGGCAGACGCCAGCTCATTCAGCCTCTTGGTTCCACTGGGGCGAGTCCCGCTCCCCAGACCGGGGGCTGACCTGTCGCTCGCTGCCCGTTAGCAGCCAGCTCCATCTCTGGGCCGCCCTGGACACTTGGGCGGCCCAGGGACAGCGTTACCTCCCTGCGTGTGCGTGACCTCGTGGTTAGGGCCTGGTGTTGGGGGTCAGACCTCACTTCCCACATCTGCCCCTAGCCCCAGCTGTGGGCACTGAGCATCTCGGTCCTCCCGAGTCACTGTTCTCGGTGACGGGCCTGTCGCCTCTCCTCAGGGGGCGGAGCCTAGGGGAGGTCGGGGCTCCTGGCCTGCTCTCACCGGTCCGGCTTTCTCCGCCTGTGTCCGAGCTCTGGACACGGGCCTTTTGGGAGGCCAGAGGATGCTTCTAGCGGATGGAACAGCACCGTATTTTTACATATTTCTCATAGTGTTATTGTGTTCCAAGCATAGGTTTAAATGCTGAACAAGACAAGGTAGATACATCTTTTTTCCTCATGGGGCTTATATTCTGATACGGAGCGCGCTCTCTCTCTCTCTCTCTCTCTCTCTCTCTCTCACACACACACACACACACACACACTTAAAAACAGCCCCAAAGTAAACTGCTGTCACAGGAAGGACAGTACGGGAACTGACAAGGGCAGGTAGAGAACGCTCTTGGCTGTGGAAAGGTCTCAGGACTGAAGGGCAGAGGGCGCAGGTCTGCGGCAGGGACGCGCTCGGTGTAACTACAGGCAGACCTCCTGGCCGGAGCTGGGTGAGCAGCAGGGTCAACGGGCCAGAAGCACCCCGACCTGCAGCCTGGGTGACTCTCCACCCGTTCAGGCCAGGCACCCCGCACTTCCGTTTCACCCTCACACCTCCCTGGTAGTCACCAGGCGATTCCCCAATGATGTTGCTTGGGTGGCGGAGGTCATGATGCCATCGTCCTCTCTGTCGGTGACTATCCGTCTCCTGCAGACCCTGGGAAGGGGTCCTGGACACAGGGGCTCCGACAGCTCCGCTGGTGTCCATGTCACGTCCCTGCTCTCTGGGGGCTGGTTCTCCTGGTCTCAGGTACAGGGATGGGTACGAGCAAGTTCCAGCTGCGGGGAGTTGAATGAAGTCGGGTGCGCCTGCTCTCTTCTGAAGTGAAGCAGAGGACAGCCAGCCTCATCGCCTTCCACAGGGTCTGTGGTGCCCGTGCACCCTGATCGTGGCCATTCATCTGGGTTCATGTGTCTCCTGACTTCCAGGATCAGCCTTTGGGGAGTGTGCAGAAGTTACCACGTCGGAACTGGTGAACCCTCTCCCCACCCCTGTTCCCCCTTCAGCCTTCCCAGCCCCCCCCCCCCCCTTCTCCTCCATCCTCTCCCCTCCCAGGGACTCCGTTACTCAGTCTCAGACTGAGTGAAGAAATATGCATTTAAATAAATTTGTTTTCCTATGCAAATGTAAGATCTTTTAGTACGTGCTATTCTTGGATTACATTTTGGGGTGGTTGACAACTTGAAGCCATTGTAGCACACGTTGGCCATGGACTGAGTACTAACGGTTTGTTCCTTGTGCTTTGAGTACAGCTTCTGCCCATTTCTTTCTGTAGCTAATCTCTGGAAGTTAAATATGCATTATATGCATGTACAAGCTGCTTATGGCTAGGTCTTGCTTCAAGAAAAAGCCCTGACACAGCTTCCGAGGGTGAGCATTAATTAGATTAGTGGAGAGTCCACAGCGGTTTCCTGGTATTTCTCCTACTCTCTTGAATGTGGGTTCTTTGGAGTTGTTTTTCAACTAGAGATTTCATTTTTTGTTCCAAAGGGAAGATAACAGCTTCTTTCAATGGAAACTATTAAAATGGGTTATTGATTACTGGCATCTATAAAAGATCTTGGCACATGGTAATTTACTGAAGAGGGAGGTTTTGGTATTTATCATGTGTCAGTAAGTCATTCCAGTATCTCTCTTGACAAGATAATTAGGTAAAATTGCACATTGGGCAAACTGAATCGTAGGCACAGGAGAATAAGTGGGTGGGCGAGAGAGAAAGCCGACTGAGAGAGACTGTTCAGAATCAAGTCAAACACAGATGAAGTAAATTGTTACGATTTAGTCACTGTCCACTCTGTGGATGAGTCTGTGTTGAATACTCTGTTCTCAGGGTTGTTAGGAATGAAGTATGATAGGAGAACCCTTAGATCATTGCCCTTGGACAGAGAACTAATGCCTGTGTCACAGAGTCCAGTTTTTGAAATGGTTGTTATTGCGGGCACATGGCCTCATCAGTCGATGGCTGCGTTTCAATAAGGTGAACAATGTCACACCGCGTCCAGGCGGATCTGACCTCAGTGTTAGGCAAGTCACCTGACCTCTCTGACCTCTCGTCTGCCGGGTAATGACCTGGATTTAACGTGCCGACCACTGTGACCACTGCACAGTAAGGGCAGACTTCCCTCCTCCAGTGGCGCCTTGTTCTGCCTGCAGCGTCCCTAAGCGCTGCTTCTCAGCGGGGCCCCGCGGTTTGGTGTTCACTTCTTCACGAAACTGTTCGCAGACTTCAGTTTGCAAATTATGAAGGACACGCAGAAATTCTTGAGTCGTTTTCCTATTGCACTGTGTCCACAGTCTCTTCCACAGATGACGCCTCGTGCTTCGGACAGTGACAGTACCAGGAGTATTGTCTGACCAGCCGTCCACACCCACATTCCACTGTTTCCTGTTCAGGCTTGGTTCTTCCTTGTCTTGATACTTTGTGCATCTTGTTGTCGCTCCCTTCCTTCCTGTAGTGCCAGGCTCGAGCACCTTCAGTGAGCGTCTGTCACCGTGGGTAGCGACTGCTGTTGAAGTGAAAGCTTCCGTGACCCTGCTCTCGGTCGGAATGTAATTGCGAGCCGTGTGCCAGCCCACCCATCACTTGCGTTATTAAAGTTGTACATCTGTACACCTTTGCGGTGCCGGTCCGTAGAGCACACCTGGGTTTTGTTCATCCCCGTCTTTTCGGCACGTGTGCAGAGCCCGTCCTCGGTACCACGCGCTGTGCTTGTTCCTGAGGAACTGGAGACAAGATGTGATAGCCCCTGTGCCGTCAGTGGTGCACAGTCTAGTGGGGGGACAGGTGTGACGCAGTCAGAGCATGCTGAGGGCCAAGGTGCAAGGCTACCCAGGGAGACAGGGACGTCTGTATTCATCGGGATATTTTTCTGTAAATGTGTGAATTGTGTCTTAACAGAGAAATAGCGTTTCTCTTGAAGTGAAAGTTAAAAGAGCATTTTTAAATTACTTTATATTTTGACTTTATAGATGGGTGCTGTCATCGTATTACCCCACTGATAAAAATTTTAAAACATGATTTTTATTACCTTTATTTACATAAACCAAAAACATGTCTTGGCATTTTCTTAAGGTGTGGATTCCAGAAAGCGGTACCACATTTCAAAGGGGCTGCTTCGAAACCATGTGAAATCTCTCTTGGACAGTGCGAGGTCTCTCGTGCTGCAGCTGCCCGGTGGAGGCTGCCTTTCCGTCCTGCGTGGGGGGTTACACTGGGCTGGGCGCTGTGTTCTGTGCAGGGAGAAGCACAGGCCGGATTCAGCCCTCCCTGCCCCCAAATACAAACTGATCAACCAAACACAACTCCTTACAATTTTTCTAACAGTTGAACGTTAAGGAACATTTTTATTATATTGTAAAGACATCTTAAGCCAAGATGAAAAGAGTGTTTTTATGTAAGTGGCATTCATGGCTACAGCTAATTCCAGAGACAGTGCACATACTTCTTCTTGCTCGATTTTATACTGTTTGAACCTCGTATCAACTTCGGATATCTCCAGTATCAGTTCAAGGCTCGGGGTGGGATGCTTGTGCCTAAAAGTTGGGGTTGCTGCTCTCCCACACGGATTCCTAAGTTCCCGAAATAATAAGGCTGTTCACATTTCTGTGATGAAGCTCTGATTTAAAATTTTTCTAGGGACATGAGTAAATAAATAATGCATAGTGGAAGCCGACAGATCTGGGTTCATTTCCTAGCTATCAAGCACTGGGCAACGGCCCAGCTGCAGGACTGGGAAGTGAAGCCCTAGGGATGCTGTAGGCCCGTGGGAGCCACGTGAGGACTGTGGCTCCACGTAGGCGTTTGACATGCTCGTTCCCGTTGCACAGACTGCCAGCATCTTGGTGGTTCATGGTCTTCGATTCGGCAGGAGGAAGAAGTAGACTTTTCTTCCAGATTACAGAGAATCTTCTTTATAAAGGAACCACATTTTAACACGATTCCTTTGTCTCTAAATTTCAGTTTGTCCACAGTAGAAATTGAAAGTCGAGCCCAAGTCCTTCATCTCTTTGAGACATTGAAGACTGACCCCGAAGCCTTTCGCAAGCGCATGGTCAAGTACATTTACCCCACTATCGGGGGCTTCGACCACGAACGGCTGCTGTACTATTTCACTCTTCTGGAGAGCTGTGGGTGTGCAGATCTGGGGGAATACGCCATTAAACCAGAAACCCACATTCGGTTGCTGAAGAAATTTAAGGTAGTTGCATCAGGTAAGGGGACCATTTCCTGTCTTGAACTCATTTAAAAAATAAATAAATAAATAAATATACATATGTTTTTATATATATAATATATATATTGTATATATTTACTTATTGATATATATTTACTTATTGATTTGAGAGAGACAGCGATAGACAGAGACAGAAACATCGATTTGTTGTTCCACTTATTTATGCATTCATTGGTTTATTCTTATATATATCCTGACTGAGGATTGAACCCACAACCTTGGCATATTGGGACGACGCTCTAACCAACAGAGCTACCCGGCCAGGGCCTCTGTGCTCTTTGAAATGAAACCCGGGGACTGACTTTCGGGGCACAGCCACGTCTGTGTGCCGTGGCTGGCATAGCTCCGAAGCCACAGGACGTGGGTGCCCGTTGTCGGTAGTCATGGTCTTCACCTCCTTCACGTGTGGTCGGGGAATTCCATACCTGAGGGACTGAGAAACCTGTGGGGGGGGGGGGGCACACAGTGGCTTGTAGCAGACCTGGCACTAAAATCCGGAGTTTTGGGCTCCAGAGGTGTTTCCCCTACGCCCATTGCTTGTATTTTATGTATGTACATGGCGAGGCCGGGACACTTCACGGAGCAGCTGGGCAGGACTCCGCTCGGTGGGGCCTGTGTGTCTAAAGCATATGCGGAGCCGTTCACATAAGAGCCTGAGCCTGTGGTCAGTCGTGGAACCCTGTAGCATGGTGTCCGCGTATCCGTGCTCATAGCAGAGACATTAAACACGTCGATGCTCCTCAGATCTCTACAATCCTTTATAATTTACAAGGCACTTTCAAATCTATATTTATTTAGTATTCATGACAATTATGAGAATTTACTTCAGGTTCCTAGCGGGTTACTGAGAAACCAAATTAGACAGAAGCAGGCATAGAGGACAGGGAGTTGGAGTCATCTCTGCCTACAAGTTGTGAGGTGGATGCCAGGGGAGGACCAGGGGAGGACTCTGCTAGCACAGTGCGGCTTGGGGGGCGCTGACAGAGGACACTGAAGATGCCAGGAGGCGGAGGCTCCCCGAGCGGGGTTGATGGAGTGGCAGGCAGGGACTGGAACCCAGACCTTCTGATGGATCTGATGGGCATGTGAACAGTTGCCTCTACCTGAACTGGCCCATGAGTCTGCCTCCCGCCACACCGAGGGCTGCGTGTGTGTGAAGCCTCTGGACGCTCGGTTGGGGAGAACGACTTTCCTCTCCTCTCCTCTCCCCAACAGGTCTTAACTACAAACAGCTGACAGAGGACAACGCCAGCCCCTTGGACGCACTGCAGCCAGTTCTTTCAAGTCAAAATATCTTATCTATTTCCAAGCTCGTTCCCAAAATCCCCGACAGGGACGGACGGATGCTTTCCCCGAGCTCCCTGTACGCCACCTGGTTACAGAAGTTGTTCTGGACGGGGGACCCCCACCTCCTGAAACAAGCCCCAGCGTCCTCCCCGGAGTGGCTCCGTGCCTTCGAGGTCTGCACAAAGTACTTCGATCGCCTGCACCCCGGGGACCTCACCGCCGTGCTGGACGCAGTCACGTTTTCTCCAGCAGCTGTGACCAAGGTACCCGCAGCCGTCGCCAGTGTAGACACAGCGTTTTAGAAGGGATGAAGGTTGCTCTTACCTCCGGTAGATTCTGCTTTTATTTCCTTTCTTGAAATGGCGACTTTTGACATGCGTGGCGTTTTGGTTTCTTGCTAAGCAGGAGGTATTTGAATTGGGACAGGTCTGTCCTCTGTCACAGGTGTGCAGGGATCTAAATCAGACTTGTTCTCGTCATTCACACGCACATTTCATGCATGTTCCGGTTCTCATGACACACATTTCACAGTAGCGATGTCCTGTTCTTCCCAGGCGGCAGGGGGAACCGGAGCGCCCAGCCCCCCTCACATGCACCCATAGGCAGGCTAACAGCTGAGCTGGTTACAGTGGCCTCAGGAAGCTCCCACGGCCACGGAGCATGTGATGGTGACAGAATTGTCTGCGGGAGTCTGTTGCATTTTCCAGTGTCTGCTCCATGCTGAGGACTGGGGCCTTCAATGGGACTCTAATTCCTGCTGTAGATCCTTCAACGACGTATCGTTTCTCTGCAAACAGATAATGTGGGTCGTCATTTCTCCCTTCTTGCCTGCTAACCCCGACCTCACTGTTCAGCTGTAAATTTCCCACTGGAGTTACCCCTGCTGGAGACTCGCCCGGCATCTGGTCCGAGCTGCTGGGTGTGCTGCCTTTGCCGTCTCTGGTCTTCTGGGCCATGGTGGCCACTTGCTGGCAAGTCTGCCCAGCACCTGTCCCAGGGATTTTTGTTATAGCTAGTATTACCCTGAAAATTGAACAGAAAGGCTGAGACATAGTTCTGGGACATGCTAGTCTTAACAAACCTGCTAGATTCGTAGTTGTGAATAACCAAGGACTTTGTTTTCTTATTGGTGTTATGGTTTTGCCTTTTACAACCTCTGCTATAAGAAGGAGATAATCATTTTTGTGGGTTTTTCAGGAAGAAAATAAGGATGATTTTTAAGGGAGGTACCATGATATATCTGAAAAGATCACACTTTGGGGTCATGTAAACCTGGCTTTGAGCTTTGAAGGGGCCACTTACCAGCTCTGTGGTTTTAGACTCAGGAATCTCTGGTGGACGCTGCCTCCCAGAGGCAGAGGCTGTGGCTGAGTAGTCTGTGAGCTAGAGACAAGTGCTCTGGTTTGAACAGGTGAGTCCAGCGAAGTTAATCTGATGCCAGACGAGCCACAGTGTGCACTCAGCGAGGCTCATTCCCGGGCCTTCGCTGTGAACAGCGAACTGTCTGTGTCTGGGGTCCTGGGTAGGGAAGCAAAGCGAGTCGGGGCCTGAAGCCATTCTAGGGACTGAGAGCCGGTGGTCAGGAGCCCCGACAGCTTGTCCTGGGGTCTGTCTGGCAGGGCTGAGTCTGAAAGAGGAAGGCCAGGCAGGTCCTGGCAACCTGTGGGAAAAGACAACAGTCCAGCAGCATTGGCTTTGAATCTCCGAGACCGAGAAGAGGTCGAAAGTGCACGTAAGTGTTAGCAACGCAGGATGTATGTATCCGAGAGAAGGGCCTGGGCGCCGGGGAGCTGGCATCCCAGGAATGCTCCAGGGCTGGGTCCCGGGTCCCGGTCCTGGCTGCAGGAGTGCGACACGGGAGCAGACCAGCCGGGGAGAGGGAGGGGCCTTCACTGTCCTCGGCCAAGGGGGCCTTCACTGCTGTGTGAGGGCGGGTCAAAGCCTGGCAGGGCCAGCCCAGGCCACATGCTCACTGGACACGTGTGTGGAGGTGGACAGACGGTTCTGGACTTCCCAACAGCAGTTATTTGCTCACGATTAGAGTAGGAGTTAGCTGTAGAGTCCACTTAGAGTTTTAGTTGTTTCTTATGATGTTTTTGTTTTTTCTTTCTTTAATTTATCTTTGTTGTTCTAAGTATTACAGATGTCCCCCCTTTTTCCCCAATGACCCCCCACCCCCGCTCCCCACCCTCACCTCACCACACTGTTGGCCGTGTCTACTGGTTATGCATATATGCATATTAGTTCTTTGGTTTATCTCTTCCTGCCTCCCCTTCCTTTTTGTGATTTTAAGTTACAGCACATTCTCATCACCTTAGTTTCTTAATCCGATACCTCCAAGCTGTCCTGTGGCCACCTGCAAGTGCATGGCAGTTGTGCCTGGGGAGAGGGGCAGCGCTGCCCGTGAGGACCCAGGCCATGAGGCACTGGTCGCTTTCTCTTAGTTCAGGACGTATAATCCTCAGCAAGATACTCTGTTGTTGAAAACTGTCCCTGGGTGGCTTTCGGTGCATCAGATTAAGCTGTAGGAAAGTGAGACAAGGCATTAGAAACTAATTTTATATCTTCGATCTGGGTTTGTTTTTTTCCTCATTTGATTAATTGGCAGCTTTAAATTTTTCAGAGAGGAAAAGTATAAAGTTCAGATACAGCGCGTGTTTCACATCACACCACACCACTCTACAGAGAGAGAGAATAAAATTCTAACCGGAGCAGCCGCACACGTCGGAGGACACATTAGGGCAAGGAAATGCAGCTGGATTCGGCCAAGTTTGCAAAACACCAGATGTTCCCACAGCTTGTGCCCGATGTTAAGAATGTAAAGTAAGGGTGTACTACTCATGCACAGTGTGCAGTTTTTAACTGTGTGCCCAGATTGGATTCGGAACCAAACTGTGGAAGGAGCTGGTGAACTAACCCTAGAGTGCGCAGCCAGAACAGTCCGCAGTTGTTCAGGGCCAGAGTCCAGAGAGGAGCAGCGCCAAAGCCTGAATTTAGTGCCCATTCCACGATAAAATAAGCCAGAAAGGCTCTTTGCCCTCATGATCATAGTCATTCAATTACCATTTGCATTTGCAATCTCACAGAAATTCTGGGGAAAATATTCACAGCGTGGCTTTATGTCACGTCGGCAGAGGTGGAATTTGCATGACATTCCAGGTGATGACGATGCAGAAGGAAAGAATACAAATGTGTAAAGTGCTCTTGCTCCAATTCTAAATTGTTTCTTTTGGTTCAGTCCGGTTAGAGTTGCTTTCCTATTGCTTTTGCAATTCAGTAACTAAAAACATTTTTGTAGAAGGGACAGAGAACACATTCGTGGCTTACAAATCCAGGAAAATGGCCAAAGAAGCTGAAATGCAGGTCAAACACCATGTGCCTGGTTCGGGCAGGGTGTGGTTGTAGGAGAAGCGTCTGTGTGTCATCTCAGCCTCCGTGTTTTCTTCTTCCCACTCGCTTGCAGTGGCTGGTAGAGCTACAGGCATAAATAAGGATGTGAAAGGTACTCCTCTGGCTTATTAAATGCTCCCCAGAAGTTTCTGGCCTTGTTTGGAAACCCAAGGTAACCACAGAATGAGAAGAGGCCCTCGTATCCCGCCCGGAGCGTTCCAGCCCGGATGCTCCCTCTCCCCACCCACGCCCTGTGTTTCCGCTCCCACTGTTTCTGGTGGGAGCACCCTGTCGCCTTTGGATTAGAGCAGAGAAATATTTGGCAGCCTCTTATCTAGTTTAACCTTTGACCTTCAAACATTATTTCTACAGATAATTAAGCTACTAACCCAAATATATATGTATACACACACACACACACACACACACACACAATATAGTTTCTACTTTTTGGTTCCTCCTTCTGGAGCTATAGGAACAGCATCAGGGAATCTATTTTTCATATTATGGCCGTTCAAATTCTTGAAATAAGCTTCTGTTTTCTCCCTTATCTTATTATCCAGACTATTTAACATAAAAATCTAGAAGAATGCCCTGGCCAGTTTGGCTCAGCGGTTAGAGCGTTGGCCTGCGGTCCAGAGAGACCCGGGTTTGGTTCCCGCTAAGGGCATGTACCTTGGTTGCAGTTTGTCCCCAACCCTGGTTGGGTTGTGTGGGTGGCAGCCACTTGATGTGTCCCCTTTACATCGATGTTTCTCTCTCTCTCCTCCCACTCTATCTGAACAAAAAATGGAAAAGTGTCTTTGGGTGAGGATAAAAAAAAAAGTCTAGAAGAATGAATTTATCTCCAAAACCATGATATGATTTAAAAATCCAATTTATTTAATAAGTTTAAGTGTCATTTAGAAGACTGCTCTGTAGCTGTGCCTTTAGGGTCTTTACGGTGCTGATATCATCTCATAACTAAGGACAGCCACGCATGTCACCACAGTGACCAGTCGGTGTCTACAGCCTGTGTAAACATGTTTGGATGATGCATAGCACCTGATCGCACGTCAGTGTACGTGGCTTTCTGCTTCGTTGGTCAGCGCATGTTGTATAGATTCAGACCGAATCACTAAGTGTTTGGCATTGGTTATGTGCCGCATATAATATTAACTGCCACTGGCGACATTGAGATGTAAAGCCATGGCCTGGCCGGTGGGGCTCAGTGGACTGAGTGCTGTCCCATGGACTGAGAGGCTCCGGTTCGATTCCTGGTGAGGGCACATGCCCCAGTTGCCTGCTCCATCCCCACTAGGGGGCGTGCAGGAGGCAGCCGATCAACTTTTCTCTTTCACATCAATGTTTATTTCTCTCTAAAAAATCAATGAAAACATATTTAAAAAAAAAAGATGTAAAAGACATTCCTATAAGCAATGTTAAATGAAGTTTTTTTTCTTTATAGTGATATTATTAATATTGTGAATTTTAATGAAAATAGAAATTCTTGAGGGTAGGAGTGGTGCCATTGTCTCTAATTTCCTAGTTCCTAGCACAGTGTAAGCAGGTGTTCCTTGAGTGGTCACGGATTGGTGGTTGCTAACCTTTTGATTTCCAGATGCCTTAACATTCTTAAAAATTAATGAGGAGCCTAAAGAACTTCTATTAAGTTGATATTTATCATATTAGAGGATAAAACCAAGAAATTTTGGAAATATTTGTTTAATTCATTTAAAACTGCCAATAATAGGTTAGAACATATTTTTGTGGAAAATGACTCTACTTCCAAAAGAAAAAAAAGTTAATGAAATGTCTATATCATTTTACATTTCTGTGTCTGGCTTCACAGAACATTTCTCTGTTGTTTTGGTGGAAGGCAATCACAGATGTG